ATACATTTTTTGGACATTTAAGAGCATGCTGAGACATACGTTAAAAGTTTTCTTGAAGACTACAAAAAAAACTTTAAAACAAAATATGATAAATCCACAAAATGGAATATCATTTCATAATAAAATGAAATAAGGCACTGATAACATGCTGCATGAATGAACCTTGCAAACATTATGTCAGTCACAAAAGAGCATATGTTGTAGGATCCCATCTGTATGAAAAATTCAGACAAGGCAAATCTATGGAGACAATAGTAGCAGTGGCCTCAGACTGGCGGCGGGGGGGGGGGGGGGGGGGGGGGGGGGGCGGGACAGGACTACATAGGAATGAAGAGTGACTGCTTATGACTTTGAGGGTTTTCTGTCTTCAGGTGATAAAGGTTTTATAAAATTAGTGGTGCTGGTTGCATAACTGTGAATATCCTAAAAACACTGGCTCACTTACTTGAAATGGGTGAACTTTATGGTATGTGGACTGTATCTCACTAAAGTCAGGTTTTTCCAAAACAGAAAAACAAAAAAAGAATTTGAGTAGTGACTATATTAAGGGAGAAGCTAAGGATTTAGGCCTGGGAAGACTTTTATTTTATGCCTTTAGATAATGTTTGAATTCCATGAGAATATAATATTTTCCCAAACAGTAATTTCAAGAGAAAACAATTAACAGTGCAACAGAAAATCAAAAGTGGAATGCGGGGCCCTTTAAGGAGGTGGGAGCCGAGACTGGAAGGGATGTCTTCCTAGGGAGTTGGACAGTAACCTGTGGGGACAGGTGCTAAAACACCTAAGTCAGTAAAAAACTCAAGAAGTTTATAGCTAGTAATCTTATTTCCTACTGACACTAAAGAGGATGGGGTTGGGATACAGAACGTGAAGAGCGTGGTACAGAAGTTTGGGGTAGCTCTGCACCTGGGTGGCTCAGTGGGTTTAGTGTCTGACTTCAGCTCAGGTCATGATCCCACAGTTCATGAATTCAGATTCTGTGTCTCTTGCTGTCTCTGCCCCAACCCCTGCTCATGCTCTTTCTCTCTCTGTTAAAAAAACATTAAAATTTTTTTTAAATTAAAAAAAAAAAGAAATTTGGGGTAGCTCCTAGAATGGACAGGATAGTGAGTGGAAATGCAAGGATGAATAAAATATGGTTCTTTCTTGCAAGGGAGTAAATTTCAATCTTTTAAATTATGGGACATAAAATGTTATGTATGTACTCAGAACAAGTAATCCTACTGGACAGCGATCACTGTTCAGAGCAATTTGGGAGTCAGAATCTTCCTTCCATCCTTGGTAGTTGTGTGACCTCACAAAGATTACTTCTCTAAGCCACAGCTGTCTTATTCTTATCCATAAAATGGGGATAACTTCTATGCCAGGATTGTTGTGAAGCCCAAATGATGAATATAAAATTCTTTGTGTAATATAAGACATAATATAGCATTTGATAAATGATAGCTATTATGGTTTCATTTATAGTTAAGTCACTACTGCAAATAACAAGCATTTATTGCAGGTAATAATCCCAGATTACCATGTGCCCAGCTTCGTGCTAATTGCTTTACACGTATTATCTAATGTAATACAACAATACTGTAAAATAAGTACCATTTTGCCTGCACTTTACAAATAAAACTGAAGCCGAGATCAAGAAACTTTCCAAAGTCACACAGCTAAAAGTAGAAGCCAAGTGATCCCAAGGTCTGATTTTCATGTCCACAGCCTTCATGTGGGGGTGCAAGAGCCAGAGACCTCTTACCTGAGAGATTTGGCAAGGATGAAGGGGGCTGTGGCTGACATCCATCCTGGTTCTGAGGCCTTAGATCATCTAGTAGCAGCAAAGTTTGACTCAAACTATATGATCAGTTCAGACTATGGTTTCAAAAAAGGTGAACTAAACTAGAGATTAAAGAAACAAAATATGATCAGGGTATGGGCAAGACTATGAACAGAGCCGATCAAAAAACACTGGTCCAATCAACCAACAAAGGCATACCTTGTAGCAGACTTTTTGGTTTGGGGAGCAGCTAGGCAACTTCTTTTTTTTAATCTGCCTTTTTAAAGAATTATATCATGAACGTGTATCATAAAATATTAAATTTTAATTCCCCTAGCTATCTCACAGTTTAGTCTCTGTTTAAAAAAAAAATCTAACGTGAACTTGACCTAATAGAAACAACAGGATACATTATTATATAAAGATCTGGGAAACAGGAAATGGACTGTACACTTACTTTGCCTCCATTATTATATTTATGTATAGGCAGGAGGCAATATTATACAAAGAATTAGTTCATTGAAATCAATTTAGATTTCTTTGAATCCTAAAATCCTTTGTTACCGGTTTCTTTTCCTTGTAACTTACCAACAAGATGATCTTCGGATGTTACAAACGGTTATTTTGAAATATAAAATTGCTGAATTCACAAGGATTTTTCCCTCCCCAAATCTGAACATGAAACATTAAATGACTAACACTACATAGCTCCAAATCTGATGTGATCTCATTAGCCAAGAGAGCAGATCACATCCAAATCAAATGCTTTACAAAGTATCCCATGGTTAATTAAAGAGTACACTCCTCTTGTCACATCACCGTAGGATCTATGTCCCCTGCACTTGATTCTGAGCAGACCCTGTGACTGTTTGACCAATAAAATACGCCAGAAGTGATGCCATGACAGTTTTGGGGCATGGGCCTCAAAGAATTGGCAATTTGCATTTCCTGTCTCTTACAGCAATCGTTTTTAGAACCCAGTTGCCACCCTATAAGGAAGCCCAAGAAGGAAGGCCCACGTCTCAGAAGAACGGAGGCATCCTGGTGAACCCCAAGCCAATGACCAGCACCAGCTTACCGGCCATGTATGTCCCAGCCACAATGGAAGTGAATTCTCCTGCCCTACTTGATAAACCCAAGTCGGCACATGAGAAGCAGAGACAAGATGCTCTTGCCAAGCCCACCCAAACTGTAGACGTGTGGATGAAACAATTAACTGCTAGGCCACACCACTGAGTTTCTCGGAGGAGTTTGCCCACACAGCAACATTACATTCCCCTAACCACAAAGTGATTTTCTCAAGATGAAAGCCGGACCTCAAGATGAAATACCAACCCCACTGCTGCATAGCTGTTATTTGTATGGTTCAAAAGGCCACGAAGGTCAGAAACACACACACAAACAAACAAACAAACAGCCAGGCGCCTGAAAACTCTTCACTGCTTTATTAGGACGCACCCACAGTACAGAGCCTCTCACACGGTTGTGAAAGGGGAAGGTTACATTTCTCTTTGGGAGCACCTTCATTTTTGTTTCTGTTACCACTTTGAAGAAAGTGAATCATTTTCAAAGAAAGACATTTTAAATTCCAAGTGTTTAAGACTCAGCTTGCATTTTTGTTGTGTTTGAAAAGGAAGTAGTATATTTTAGCCAGAGCTGGAAGATTGTTTTGTGGCATTTTAACTTTAATGTGGATCAGAAGTCTTCGCCTTCTGGTTGAACCAGTCTATAATTTTCATATGCAACTTTTCGTATCAAAAATGTTTCATTTTACCTCTACCCACAAACAGATGCTGTTTTAAACACACACACACACACACACACACACACACTGAAAACCAATACGAACCACAGCATTTCTAACAGGGAACATAAACTTCTGCTGCCCTCTCCTGCTAAAACAATGGAATACTAAAATACCAAAAGGTTGATGAGGCTAAAGCAAAATTCTTAAACCAAAAGCAATGGCTATATCATTCTCATGATACCTGAATCAAAAATCAGACAACCAGAAAATGTATTGGTAATATTTATATTTGAAAGTTCCCCATTAAGACATGAGGTCTGAATTACAACTTATTTACAATAAGTGATTTAAAAAAGAAGTAAAGAAAGAAAAGGGAAGGAAGGAACGGAGAGAATAGAAGGGAGGGAAGCAGGAAGGAGGGAAAGGGGAGAAAAGATGGGAAGGAGGGAGGGAAGAAAAGGAAACCTATATTCATAGACAACATAAACTGGGATGTTTATTTCCGCAAGATATTACTGCTGCTGTCGTGCACAAGCAGCAGCACAAATTAACATTCCACTAGATCGAAATTTGCTCAACTTTCTCTCAAGATGCAGAATCCTTTCAGATTTTCAAAATTAAATACTGAGAAATATAAAACGCATTGCCAATAGGCCTACTACAAAAATCCTTTGTGGGTCATTCCTTAACTTCAGAGAAGCAGCTGAGCCAGAATATAAAAATAAAAATATTGATGTGCAAATAAACCACCACTGATCATGTCTGGCGCCACCTTTCGGTTACAGGTGACACGACTTTGTGATGACTGGTAATAGCATAAAAAGAGAATCTCTTCATTTCCTGGGCCAGCTCAGTGCAGCTAATTAAAGGGAAAGGATAGAACGGAAGGAAAAACACACACACACCAAAAAAACTCTGAAGACTTAAAAATGCCAATAACATCCATACATCTTCCCTTTCCCACCCCCCGATCCCCACAAAAAAATAAAAAAGCTTTTAAAGCTCTAAATATACTTTTTTTTCTTCCCATAGTGTGATCGAGCCTAGGGCTATACATTTATGTACAGCAGGTGCAACTGCAAGCAATTCCTGGCTCTTTCCTGGACTGTCCCACACATAGAAGGAGGTACAAAATAAATTAAACCCTTCCATTTAGGCAAGCAAGCCCAAGATGAAGGAGCATAACCCTGCTTGCGAGTATCCAGCGGCATCGAGGGTTATTAGTTATTTCTCACTTTTTTAATTTTTTATTTCATTTTTTTTTTATAAAAAACAGATGTCAGGGAGAGCAAAATATAATCAAATTTAAAGGAACAAAAAACGCAACACGGGAGGGACACAACTGGGGACCACTTGCACAACGAGAGAAGGAATGCATGCTTGATTCAAAGTATGAGATGGGTCAGTTCACTCCCATGGTTGTTCTCGGCCCACAGCCTAAGGCCTCGGCATCATTCTAAAACCACAGGGTTTGGTTTGGTTGCGTGTTTTTGTTGTTGTTTTTTTTTTTTTTTCTCCTTCCAAAGACACTCTTTATCCTACCCCTAAAACCAATATGGTAGGGATGAGGTTGGAGTGATCGTCACTCACTAACTACAATATTTGCTATTTAAAAAATATATTTATATATAGTTCTGGAGATTATGAAGCCAACAAAATAGAACACAAAGATGCATTTGTCACAATTAAGTCAGGCTGCAGCAACAGCAGAAATATGGGAAAGGACAGAGAGAGAGGGCTGCTGTGAATGCAGCAAGTACGGCCTTGACTATGTCACAGAGTGCAACAGTCAGGTCACCTCAGTTACTCTGCGCCACCAGATACAACATGACAGATGTCACATTGTCACTTTCTGTTTATAAAACAAAAGACAGTGTTTCTTCTCAGAAGTTGCCCTATACATTTTAGACATGTATTTATAATTGCTTCTGCATGTATGTCTAAAACTCGGTTTTGTTCTTCTCGGTTTGGAATGGTCAACATTACAGATTCAACTTCAAGGGTATCTGTGCAGTCCTCACCTTTGCTTGGAGGCAGGGAAAGGTGCAAGACAGGATCCTTGTCTTTCTCATCGCAAATGACTGCATTTCGTTGTAATGGGCAGGGGGAGTCCATGACCTGTGATTTTAAATGTCCTCTATCTAAAAAGATGAATTAATGGCAAACAAGTTTATACTGTCAGAAACAAATGTAATGCAGACTCAAAACTAATGGGGCTCAAATCAAAAGAGCTAAAGGAGATGATTTGTTACAAATTTATTTTTTATCTTTAGTGTTTGAACTTGCACCTTTGCTCCAGCACTTTTAAAGTAAGTTTTTTCATTTCGGCAGCCTCTGCCAGCTTTACATTGAATCCCCATTAAGGTTCTTTAAAAAAAAAAAAAAAAATCTCTTCATTCCATTAAACCATGTTGTGTTGGGTGTTGCATATGACTTTTTTACTGCGGTTTCTTTTTGAGAATTAACATAGCCAAGTTTTGTTTTTGTTTTACAAAGTTACTGAGATGACAATATCCATAATTAGCGGACTTTTCACACACAAACTGTGACCTGATAATCCTGAAACACTTAACAGGGGAGAAAGGTCAGCGGCTTTTTTTTTTTTCTTTTTTCTTGGAAATGATAAAACTGCATATTCTACTTTATACTGAAGTGGAAGGAAGAAAATATACAAGTCCATAATGATAGTATATTTCTACGAAGAGCAACAACATTTCATATGTTCATGTTTGCTACCATCACAATTCAGTACATGAACACGGAATCAGCCCCTCTGCCACGAATACTGCTGGAGGTGTTGGTTTAGGATTATCAACTCACTGCTGCCGCGTCCACAAGCAAAAGCATCCTGAAAATAAATTCCAAAATATGTATCTTTCAGTACATAATAATGCAACCGCATCAGGGAAGTACATACTGGACACAAATTTCATCAGCATTTTATCTCCCCAAGATGTAAGAGTCCTCTTGTAAATACAAAGCAGAGAGCCAATAAGATATAGATCTATAAGACAGCCCTAAATTTTGATTTGTGTTCTGTGTTCTTCTTAAACAATTTGGTCACAATGCACCTTTGATACAAAAGCATTTTTAAACTTTATTATTAATACTCAGGACATTAGGGATTTCCAGATTTTTTTTTTTCAGTAGCATTTGTAGAACCGCTTTTGGTAACAAATACAGTAGTTAGGAATATGCATCCAATTCGGAATGCATAGTCGTGTTTATCCTGAATCCTTTCTGGCTAAAAACAGGGCTGGCGCTGTGATGAGATATAGAATGAGAATCTACAAAAAACACTGTAATATGTTTGTTTGTTTGTTTGTCCCAGAGGCTACATCCTCTTTTGCTGGAATACTTTATAAATACATATTAAAAAGTAAGGCAACAACTCCAAACAGTCCAAGCTGTTTGCTCAACTCTCTTCCCAATTAGATTCGCAATCCTCGTGATCGATCTTGTGGTTGTACTGTTTAGTGTTTGTCTTTCTTATTACAAAATGGTCCAAAAGGATGTTTTCTGACATTTCTCAAACATCTCTGGTATGTGTGTTCAATGATGGATGCAACTAATACTGGTCAGGTACTGAAGCCTACGATGTCCTGTTTTCAAAGGATTCAAGACATTGATTTGGATTCACCATAAACTAGATGCGTGAATCCAAAATTCCCTTCCCTACTATGTTTATCACCTCTTCTCTTTTACTCCTAATTTTAAAACTAAAGGAGTACCAGGACTACCTGGTTACTGGAAAGATGTTCACTCCAGTAAACAAAACTTTTGTCAGGGACCTTTACAATTCATGGCCCCCTTCCACATGGACATTCAACTCATGAAGATGTGCAAAAGGAAAAGATGTTAAATTACAGTCAAGTTATCCAGAGGAGGATGTTATACAAACTGATAAGGAAATGACAGTCTTTTTTTTTTTTCTTCCTTTACTATAAATACATTTAACAGCTTAGCAGAAAGACAAGCTAAATTTAAGATTGTTCACATTTGAAAGTTGTTTCATACTCTCTGCTAAGGATAAATAAGGAACTCCTGATAATAGAATTTTAACATAGCAATTTCATCAACAGATCTCTGAAGACTGCTTTTTTTTTGTTTTTTGTTTTTTGTTTTTGTTTTTTAAAGAGGGTTAGAACAATGATTATGTTTGCAAAGTTCTGAGAAGTCCATCTACTGTCCAAACTTTGGACTGAAGTCCTTATTTTTTTTTTCCTTTACTTAGAGACAGGTATATACAGTGCTGTTGTAATAATGAAACAAATGTGAAATCTACTGCAAAGTTGCACAATACAGAAAACTGTTGCTCCATCTTCTACTACATAAATGTGTGACTCCACAGGTTAGTGATGGTGCTGTCATTACTTCTGTTAAGTTGGAATTATGCCATCACGTCTAAGACCTCTCTTTAACTCCAGATCCTCCAGTTTTTTCCATAATTCTTCACGTTCCTTTTCTTTCTTTTTCTCACTGGGGAGAAAACAGAGTACAAGGTAAACAACTAGGAAAGTTTGAAAAGATTATCTAACCATCACTGCCCACACTCTTCCTCCATGTACGTTTTACAAGCGGTCTTCGAAAAGTTCGGCATTAAGTTTGTGGATATTTTTTCATTTCGGGTTTTTTCTTGCTTTTTTTTTTTTCTTTCTTGATACTTACATACACAGAAAAGTTGTATTAATGTACTGAGCAAGAGATGACAAGAATATTTTAAGATTTCAAAATTAATATTCCTTTATAGTTAGCTTAATAATGAAGATTAACTTCAAAATGACTGAGAAACAAAAACAGGGATTATTTCTATGTATCCATTATCCTAAAGTCCGAAAACACATTAAGTGATTTTTATTTGGGATCTAGTTAAAATCTAATTTTCTCTTTGACTCCAAAGAGTTTCTCAAAAGGGATGCTAGAGATGATTTGGTGCAGAGAAAGTAGCAGGTCAAGAAAACATACTTCCCCCTTATGATCATCTATTTTCCCTACACCATATGTAGTAAATCCTTCAGCAGAATCTCATTCTTGCAAGTATTAATCAACCACAAAATCCAACTTATTTTATACTAAAATGTTCTTTCTTTTGTGACTCTAGTTTTCATGATCTGGAAAGAACTTCGGTGACATTACCATGAATCAAATTTTTAATGTTCCAAACCTTCAAATTTGACCAGTAAATTTGGTAAACTTTACTAAAAAACTGGATGTCTAAAACAGGGTCAACAAATTTTATTTGGCCAAGGACCTTTTAGATCACCATACTTTTGTAAAAAAAAGGATGTTAATTTTAACATCAACCAGGTAGAAAGTATAAAATCGAGGAATATGGGACTATACTGTAAACTGAGTACATTCCCATTTATTAAAAATAATCCACTGCTATCCCTAGCTCTCTCGTACTGTGATGACCTAGTAAACAGCAGACTCCGATAACAGCTGTGAACCTGATCCTTCCTGAAAATGGGGGCCCTGCCATTTCAGCCATGGGGCTATGGTCCTTGTGTGACCTTAGGTAGCAAGCACTTAACCTCAGTTACATTACAGCATGCCCTAGGGAAATTAACACAGGTTAAGTGAAATCTGTATATAATTCCAATGCCTCATATTTTTTAATGTCACCAATTTTTTAAAAAGTATTTGATATCTACAGCAATAAAAATTAATCTTCACCTCCCATCCCTAGAAATACCTAATTTTATAATCTCATTCCATTAGTTTTGAGAGAATATTTGATTATATAATATAATGAATATTATCATAATATTTTGATAATTGAGGCCTTGTATACTGTGACTAGTTGCAACTATCTCAAATACAATCTGCACAATATGAATTCCAATGGGCATAACAATTTTTCCAACAATTCTCTATCTGGTAATTATGACCCTAAAAATTATATTTGCAGGGCAACAGAGACAAAATTAGATGATCCTCCAATCATTATGAATTTTAAATGCTTAACTATTAGTAAGCTGTTTGGTAAATTACTCATGTTTGGTTTCTCAGTAAAGTTTAGGAATAATATTAGGTCTAAATAAATGTTATCACAGAACACTGATGGCCTTTTCATTTGGAAGGGGGAAAAGGTGGTAGGCAAGGGCTTAGACACTTTTATTTTTTAATTATTTATTTATTTTGAGAGAGAGAGAGTATGAGCAGAAGGGGGAGGGGGGGAAGGGGGGGCAGAGAGAGAGAGAGAGAGAGAGAGAGAGAGAGAGAGAGAGAGAGAATCCCAATCAGGCTCCTCAGGTTCAGTGCACAGAGCCCAATGCAGGGCTAGAACCCACAAAACCATGGGCCACCCAGGCGCCCCAGGAATTTTCTTTAACTAAGACACAGGTTAAACATACGTTCACACTGTCCTAATTTGAAGTTTAAATTAAGTGCTGACATCATTAAAACACCCATTATCTTGTTCCTGAAGCATTTCATTCACATCTTTGATCAAGAGTTTTATGGCTGGGGGTGTCTGACTTTGGCGCAGGTCATGATCTCGTGGCTCATGGGTTCAAGCCCTGTGTCAGGCTCTATGCTGACAGCTCAGTGCCTGGAGCCTGCTTCAGATTCTGTGTCTCCCTTGCTCTCTGTCCCTCCCCTACTCACACTCTCTCTTGGTCTCTCAAAAATAAATAAATAACTGTTAAAAAAATAAATAAATAAAAGTTTTATGGCATTCAATACAATTTCTCCCGTGGAGCTTTCTTCCAGATGAATTTTATGCTGACTTATTATACATCTTTTATACTGACAACTTTATCTTCAAATATTCTAAATATTTCTGATATAGTTACTGTCATTCCATTCTTTTCTACTTTTTTCTCTTTGTGTAGGTGGGAATTTTAAAGCTTAACCACACTGTCATGCTAGGGAGACTGTCAAATTCTCTTCCAATTTCAATTTCACATAGCACTAATGTTAGCAAGCACATCTAACAAGGCTAGTTATTTCTTCCACTCACCATTTCCAGATTTGTAATACTTAAAAATTCTACCTAAACTGAAACACTTAAACTTGGTGCTGTCCAGAAGTCAACTCCTCCATTTAGCTCTTCTCTAACAGTACCAAATCAATCTCTTTCTTCTCTTTCCCTATTACCACATCCAGGGAGAAGCCAATGTTTCCCTCTATTCAGTACACTCCTCTACTGCTCGTTTGACAAAATATTACCCTTACTTTAAAAAAGCTCTTCTTTCATTAAGAGAGTCTGCTCATGGTAAGTCACTCTAATACACCAGATCTTCAGAATCAACTTCATCATGTCTATTCCGGGGCCCCTTGGTCAATAGGTATCTTTTTCAAGGATTTGGTCTAAATGATAAGCCACCAAAATTCAATAAATATGAATTAATTTAATTCAATTTGAATATTTTAGAAATAAGGTCTTTATTTCTCTTAATGGGATTCTATAGATTTTTATCTAATCTTTATTAATTTAAGAATTTAATCTTTAATCAGTTGCTATAAAAGAAAGGATGTTACGTAAAACACACTCTTTAATGGTATGCCACAGTGTGAGAATGCGTCCTTTATTTCCTCTACTTAAATAACACTTTTAAAGACTTTACGAGTTTGAGCCAGGGAGGGTCATAAATGTAATAATTTACAACAACTGTAAACAGTTAAATTGAAAGTTCCTTAAATTACAAGTATGGCACAATGTACCCATAATTGATATTTATTCCAACATTGTATAAAATACCCCAGCCTCTTCTGTCTACAGTTAAACACTTGCCATATTCCATAATTAAATTTGCTTTTCAATATAACCACATCCTGGTAATTCTTTTAAAAAACTCCCTGTGATAGTCTTTTGCCCCGCCACCAAACCTTTCCTCTCATTGCTCTTTTTATCAGTAAAATGTAAGTGACACATGCAAAATCGGGCAAAGCAAAGAAGCAAGGGAACCACAGACAGCTCTGTCCAGGAGATTCAGCAAGGTCTTGGGTCCGAACACTCGTGCACACCCCTGGGATCTTCTAAAGTCCAAATATCTAAAGATGATAATTGCCTCTGGATCAAAGCCAAACCAGAAGCGCAACTACTAACAAGCTCTCTAGATTTTCCTCAAGTTCTCCAAGTGGATCAATATCACGGTCTCAATATTTGTGTCCTGTCCTGTCTGAAATTCTTTTGTTGAGATCCTCACCTTCAAAGGTGATGGGTTTGGTAGCTAGGCCTTTGGGAATTGATTAGGCCATGAGGGTGGGGCCCTCATGAACAGCATTTAGTGACCTTGTAAAAGAGATCCCACAGAGATTCCTTGTCCCTTCTATCATGTGAAGACACGGTGAGAAGGTGCTGGCTATGAACCAGAAATGAGGGCCCTTATCTAACCATGCTAGCACCATAATCTTGGCTTCCTGCCTCCAGAACTCAGAGAAATACATTTCTATTGTTTATAAGCTCCCCATTAAGTCACCCATGTGTGGTGTTCTGTTAGAGCAAACCAAACAGACCAAGACAACATCTTTTAGAAAGTAGGACATGTTGAACAAGAAATCACAAAATCGAAAAAATCACATGTAAATGAAATCAAGAAAGGCTTTACCAAGCCATAAGCATTTATGTAAAGAATTCAACTGGTTTTTGCTCCCTTTTGGCCTCAAACATTTCAAAATTTGTATAATACCAGACTCCTCACCTCCATGTTCTTTTCACTGTCCTTTAAGTTCTAATGAATTTGTTGTGTTCTAGAGCAGAAAGGAAGTTCTGAGCCAAAGAGCTAAACTAAAATGGTGCCTCATCCCTCTTGCTGCTGAAGTATACAAGATCTTCCCAATTCAAGTTCAAATAAGTTCCGGATGGGAGCGAGCCTGGATGGCAAACTACCTGTTGGATTCCTTAAATGGGCCAGAAATACCAGTTACATGCCAGGCCCTTAACCCTGAGGCAAAAGTGAAACATTACTGAAGGGAAGGGGGAAAGCCACCTTTGTCAAACTGACCCTTTGCTACCTTGGGGCACACTAATAAGGACACAGCTCATGAGCATGCAAAAGTGAACATATAAAGAAAGAAAACTGTGCTGCTTATGATTTCAGGTGCAATCAGGCAACTGCGGCAAAGAGCAAGGAGAGAACTCAACAGGTTTATGCACAGCTGACAAAAAAGCTTTAAAAAGTTACCGCTGACGATCTGACTTGTATGTGGCTGTCAGCTCATCAAACATGGTGCTGTTCATTTCCATAAAGGCCTTCAACACATTGTACACTAGCGCCACGATAGCCCTGGGAAGCAGAGAGAGAAGAGAACGTGTTGGTTAGTCTTCCATAACGGGGGCTGTGTGGAGACAGGGAGAGCGGAACCCGTGTCTGAATGAGCTCCCTGTATTGCAGAATCTCCATCCCTATTCAGTTGCAACAACCAGAAACGATCTACAGTTCATTTCCACACCGTGAGAGTTCCATTCTTCACTGTTCCAGGCAAGATATCTTTTGGAAGGGTTGGCAGGATTAGAAAAAGATAAATCTAAATCTGCCCTTCTAATTATCGGTACCCAGAATAGACTTGCCTGTGGGCACTTGTTAACTTCATTTAATAAAAAGGCAAGTATAAAAATAAAGCAACTTCACCCTAAAAAGGAGCACCTGTGGTAGGACTAACTCTTAGAGAGCTGAATTTGCACAGAGTCTTATTTTTAAAGTGATAATATACATAATTCATCAAAATCAAAAGCTGTTCTCATGGAAACAAATAATATGTGTATTATTCATATTCAAAGACATGATACCGAACCCCTTTAAGTCAGGCAGTTTAATATGAGTTAAGTTGCCAGTTGTGATTTGTTTCAGTCCATTCCCTCCTGCTAAGTTCCCTTGCCAACCCAACATATGTGTCAGTCAGGTGACCGGCAAGCTGGTGATGGCTGCCGTTAGCTGTGGAACAGAACTAAGTGGTCAAAATGGCGGCACACAGATTTATCAAGTGGAAGAATAAGCTCTTGATGTCTTGAGGACTGGGCCCATGATAGGCTTGGTATCTTCAGACTAGAGTCTAAAGAGCATTGCCCTTTGCAAAACTGTACATTACTTCTGTTTTGCAACAAATCTGCTACCAACACCACTGAAGGCGGCACTGGAAAAAGTCAGACCGTAGGTCAAATAAACCATGGGTTTGATGCTTCCAAAACATAAAGGTACCTGCTGTGTTGTTCTGCCTTGTGCCTATTAAAAGGAAAACTTAAGCTCTCTTCTGTTGAGGGGGAATGACCTTCTCCTATACAATGGACAGCAATGGAGCAGAGCCAAATACAGTACACTGAGCAGCTACAGACACTCGCTAGAACCACTCTCCAGGTTCTCAAGAGACCACCTGCATGATGAGACTTAATTATTTACCACAGGTGCTTTTTATGTTTTTGTGCCTTTTAATCTGACAATGAGATCCACACTATAAAAGGGCTTCCCTGTCCATCCACCTGCCACAGTCCTTGAAGAATCCTTTTGAGCATTACCACCTCGTCAATATCAGTAGCCCTCTCCTCTCACTCCAGACCACCCCCAAAATAGCTCTGCTTTTCACAGACAAGTCAGGAACCCCTCAAGGAAGCAGATACTTTAACGTAACTGCACTTAAAAAACAGTTTTGTAAAACATGTTTACTTGCGGGTCTCCCCAACCAGCCAGTGAATTTCTGAAAGACAGGAATTCTCACATATCTGTCTTCACCAACAGGCACAGCATCTAGCATATCACACGATTATATTAAGCAAAAGAGAAGGAGGGAGGGAGGGAGGGAAGAGGGGGAAGGGAGAAGAGGGGAGAAACTGAAAACCTACGGATTCCAATGTTCTTTTGAAATCCTATAAAGACTGGAAAACATGATGGGAAGGATGACATTCGAGTTTTCTTCTATCAAACTCATGATGTATTCATTATTCCAATAATACAGTGCCCTTTCTGCCACCTTTGGAAAAAAAGAGAGAAAGAAAATATAAAGAGAGCGAAAAAGACACATAAAACAAAATTAGATTCTCTCCCAACAAAAATTTTTAACAACTATTTTTATATCATTCAATCAAATGTGAAATTAAATATTAATCATGTTATATTTTGGGGGATTTCAAATCTTTTAGAAAGTTCCAAAGAGGTTCATCAATTAGGAGAAGGAAAAAAGTTTTCCTACCTACCTCTCTGTATTCTCCTTTAACACTGCCCTTTTCATCTGATTCCCACATCTTCCCTCCCAACTCCAAACACCTTTCCTTTCCTTCTAGATGCACACTGCTTCCCCGGGTCTTCAACTCTCTTCTGGCTCACTTCTTTCATCCTGCACACTTCAGACCAACCTCAGGGCCCAGCAAGCAGCTGGCATTCGGGCAAGAGCTGGTGAGAAACACCCAGCTGCCCACCTCCACAGGGCAGTCACGTTTGCTCAGTCCCCTCTGCCGGCCCAGCCACTGAGCACACGGGACGTACCACCCTTGCCACCGGCCGAGGAGGAGGGCCGTGTGCTCCCTGTAGAGATGGAGACACTGGGCCCCAGAGAGGCTAACAAACCAGCAAGGTCACATGGCTAGTAAATGATGAGCACTGGGACTCCAGTTTCGTGACCACACTCTTTTCCACATTATTTCTTTATCCACTTTATCCACCATATCCACTTTAGTTCTGGTCTTTTCCTTTGAACTGAGTCATCCAGGAGAAAGTCACTCAGTTCCTGGACTTAGAGACACACCTGCTTGCTAGCTCAGGTCCCTCTTCTCTTGACCACCATGCTAGCCAATAGACTCTATGAATTCAAAGGAAGGGTTCAAAAAAATAACCTAAACAGGGCTGTCTGGGTGGCTCAGTCAGTTAAGCATCTGACTTCGGCTAAGGTCATGATCTCGCCGTCCATGAGTTCTGTGCTAACAGCCCAGAGCCTGGAGCCTGTTTCCGATTCTGTGTCTCCCTCTTTCTCTGCCCCTCCTCGGTTCATTCTCTCTCTCTCTCAAAAATAAATAAAACATTAAAAAAAAATAACCGAAACAATTTCAAAAGGAATCTAAAATAAGAGTAACTAAACCCCAAATCTCAAAAAGGCTAAAATCTCAATAAGGGTAGTTTTTAGAGGTGGAGAAAAAGAAAAAAAGAGTGGCTTCTTTCATTCAGAGGGATTAAAAAATTACATTCTAATTTAATGAATTAAATTTAAATTTAATAATTTAATTTAATGAAATGGTACAAGACGTACCCACCAATAGACTCTGAGAAATTAAGCCTTTCCATTTACATTATTCAACTTGCTTCAAAAAAAATCCTGGGCCTCATGAGGCACTAGACCCTGAGAGCACAAGGAAGACAGCCATTACTGAATGTTGAGTACATGCCAGGCACCGCGCTAAGGGTCTCACACATGTGTTACCTTATTGAATGCTCATGACTCACGAAGGCATAAGCGCCATCATTTCCATTTTGCAAATGAGGAAAATAGAGCCCAGAATCTGTAAGCCACCGCCTCAAGGCCGCGTGGCTAGCAAGTGGCAGGTTCCAAAGTCCCTGCTCTTAACTTCTTGACTCTGTTATCCCCTTGGAGCTCCTGGGGCAGCGAGGAAAGGGGGGATCTACAGGCCCATCCAATGTAAACCGTGACAGATGCTGTAACCAAGAAAGAAGAAACAAAGTGCCGAGGAAAGAGCGCAATGAACAGGAATGAACAATCTGGATGATCTGAGGGAGAGGAGGAGTGGCAGGAATGTAACACGGGAGGGAGCATCTACACTGGGCTCTGAAGGATGAAGCAAAGAAGGAAAAGGCATTCCAGGTGGAGGGAATCCCGGGAAAGGAGGGCAGAAACGCTAACTTGGACGATGGGTCTAGAAACCGTGAAGCATATGGTGTGGCCGGGGCAGAGAGAGCACAAGGAAAGGGAGGGACAACAGGATGAAGGGGGCTGAGGCTGTTCTGAAACTCACAACCAAAGAGAAGAATTTGTAAAGAGCCCACCAGAGGCTGCTGGTACAGAAGGAGAAAGCCAGGATTTTCCTACATCCAATTACAAGTCTAGTGTTCACCTGCTACTTAATGCTAACAAGTATCTTACTGGATGTAAGTGTTACTATGCAAAATCACGAACAGAAAGTCAGTATCTAGCAAAGCCCTTTAAAGAGGAAAGGCAATGCTTATGCAAAGTAAAAATTAGCATGGCTAACACTAGGATGGAACCACCACTTTCCTGGGAACCACGGCCCTCCTCGCACATGGAGCGGTCCCTGGTAGGAGCCGTTTGACCCTCATGCCACACCGGGGGCAAGTAGTGAAAGGCATGTGACTACACTGAGTGGCACTTGAAAAATGTTTGCTGGATGCACCAAGGAAGGAGGGAAGGAGGGAGGGAGGGAGGGAGGGAGGGAAGGAGGGAGGGAGGGAGGGGGAAGGGAAGAAAGGAGGGAAGGAAGGAGGGAGGGAGGGAAGAAAGAAAGAACCTCTCTGTGGTGCCTGGGTGGCTCAGTCAGTTAAAGGTCTGGCTCTTGGTTTCAGCTCAGGTCATGATCTCATGGTTTCTGAGATGGAGCCCTGAGTCAGGCTGTGCAGTGACAGCAAAGAGCCTGCTTGGGATTCTGCCTCTCTCCCTCTCTCTCTGGCCCTCCTCAGCTTGTGCGCAAGTACGCACTCTGTCTCAAAATAAATAAACATTTTAAAAAGAAAAAAAAAAAAAGGACCTCTTTACTGTCCTTTCTTTAGTTCTAAGTCTTACTTCTGTCAAATAACTGAATTATTTTTTTCTTTCTGCTGTGGACTACACCACCCACCCCCACCTTTGCCACACTCATGTGTTGAAGCTCTAACCCCACTGGTGTGTTGCAGACAGAACTTTTAGAAGGTAATTAAGGTTAAAAGAAGTCCTAAGGGCGGGGTCCTAATCCAACAGACTTGGTCTCAAGAGGAGGAAGAGAGAGACCTTTTCTTTCCTCACACACACCAAAGAAAGGCCACAGGAGGACATGGCGAGAAGGCAGCCAGCCACCTGCAGGCCAGAAGGGAGCCCTCACCAGAAGCAGGCCAGGCCGACACTCTGGTCGCAGACTTCCAGCCTCCATAACTGTGAGAAATACATTTCTGTGGCATAAGCCACATGGTCTGTGGTGTTTTGCTATAGAAGCCTCCTTGATCTGAATGCCTGTGTCCCCACAAAAACTCACATGCTGAGACCCTAACCCCCAAAGACAATGATATGAGTACAGGGGCCCTTTGAAAGGTACTTAATAAGAATGGAGCCCTCGTGAACGGGACTGGTGCTTGTACAACAGGCTCCAGGGAGACCATGAGCCCTTCTGCCAAGTAAGGATACAAGAAATCTGCAACTCAGAAGAGAGTCCTCACTCAACTGTGCTGGCAGCCTGATCTCACACTTCCGGCCTCCAGAAACATGGGAAATAAATTTCTCCTGTTTATAAGCCTCCTAGGCTGTGGTACTTGGTTACAGCAGCCTGAATGGACACAGCACTAGCTGACTACACACCATCTCCTTCCTAAATCCTCTGAGCATCATTTAAGCCTCCCTGATGACCTTAAAAGACATTTGTGGAAAAAGAAAGAAAGAAAAAAGAGACAGAGATTTCTGCTCCTTGCTTTCCACAATGTCAAACATCCTGATGAAAACGGGAAAATGAGGTAGACAAGCCAGAAGTCTGAGCACTGGGGCCATAACACACAAACACCTACACAGTATCCTGCAGTGTGTTTTGGTTGTTTGTTTATCCAGACATGTGTTGTATCATCTGAATGCAATGTAAGGTTCATATAATGGCTTCCACTTTTTTCTTTTTTTGGGTTTGGCTTTGTGGAACAAACGCTAGACTGTCCTAAGATCACTGCTGTAACATACTAACATGTCTTTAGGTCAAAAATTAAAACAACAACTATAGCCAGTCTCTTAACTATTCAGGGTAATGACAGCGCAGGGGAAAGGTCCACCATGAGTCCACCGTGTTAACAGTGTGGTTCTGTGCTACCCACTACAGTCTGAGCAATCTGTTCTGATCAGCAGGCAGCATATAAAGAGTTCATCTTCAAGGTCTGTGATGCGGACCTTGGTGAGACAGTGAAAACCTGACGTGTTTTCACTCCAGGTCACCCCCTTCCCTCCTGTGTGGGACCCGCAGCACTGCAGCAACAGGCCCAGTTGAGGAAAAGGTGGCTGGGTTTGTGTCCCTGTGATCCCCCAGAGTGGCCACAAGGAGGCAGAGTGGTGCCATGGGAAGGTCACCAGCTTTCACAAGAAGCTACACAGAAGGGACTCTGCTCCTTATGAACTTGGGGCCTGGAGCAAATCATACTCTGAATTTCAATTTTTTCATCTAGAAAATAGCGGGCAGGGTGGGAGACAGAGCAGGAGAGCCCCGGAGGAAAATCTGAAGTTTACCAAGAATGCACGTAAAGCATCTAGCACGGTACAGAATGTGTGTGTTCTCTGTCTCTTAAGCTTCGTTTCGCATTCTCTCTTACACTCTGCGGGAACCCTACCAGTCCACCTCTTACTTGGCCATTTTATTTGAGACAAATTATTTTTACCACTTCGAACTTCCGTGTTCACGTGTTAAAACCATAAGGCCCTCCTTGCAGAGGGATCACAAAACCTGATGTTACTAGACAGAAAGCATCATGACAGTGGCTGTCCTATTGCAGGTGTTCAACGTAAAGGAGGTTATTATTAAAATTATTATCACAGGAGAAAATAGCAAATAAAAAACAACAGGTAGCTAGTGTCCATGACATTTCTTTCAATACAAATAAAATTTTAGCAAATAACGTATGCTGTGGAGGCTACTCTGGCTCATCCTCTCTTTACTACTAACCTGAAAATGGGGGCTAGATACACACTTGGCAATTTGTTTAAACAAAGGTTCCTGAATTTTAACAAACTGTGAGGGTTCGATCACATCCAATATTTCTTCCAGCTCCCCAAGGAACATGACCTGGAAGTACACACAAAATGCAAAACATCAGATACCTTGTTAAAAAATCCAAACGAATGAGGAGGAGTAATGAGGGTTTGTAATTTTAAGAAAAATTTACACATAAAACCAAACAGGAAAAAATTAGGCACTGTCTTATGTTAGATGTTCATTTCATAAAGAATTCACCAGAGGGTACTTGTTAAAAGCGAATTCCCTACAGCTTTGAAAATATGATTCCATTTACTTTGGAAAAATTACTCTACGTGCTACATCTATAACACAGAAGCGGAGGGCGCTTACACCTCGTGGCAGGGCCCCTGGGAAACAGCTATGTCCCTGAGGGCCTCTCCTCTCTATTGCTATCAACCTAGCATCTGCTCCCCACCCCAATCTTATTTTCCAAACAGTGGGAAGGCAGCCCTCCTGCACGGATGCACAAAGGGCCACAGTGGCGCAGACAGATATTTGCTAAGTGTTTACAGCCCCTGCTACATGCTAGGTGCTCCCGTAGGATACACCCCAGTTAACAGAACACAGAGAAGGAGAGACACAAACGAGCAGATTCACCCACACGCAGGTACCATTTTAATCCCATCAGCACACACTGAGCTGATCTCCACACCTTCACACACTTATATACATACACATATGCGTGTACAACTGCTCGCCATAAAGCATGAATCCCAGCCTCAGCACTGCGTGTCTCAAGAAACTGAGCTTTTAGATCACAAAATGGAGCCAAATCAACAGCACAGTCAATTGTTTTAAACACAACGGAAAACTTACAGAGAAATTACAAAGTTGCCTATTTAGGCACAGAAAAATAATTACCTTAGAAAAAAAATTAATTATGAAATTAAAAGGACAAATGACAACATTTTCGTATCTTGAGGTGCATTTGGGCAGCAATGTAGGGTTTAATTTGGTCTAACAAGTACTGAAAAAATCAGATGACTTTCTGAAATTGTATAAAGTAAGGTTTTGGAGAACTGAAACTGATTTGAAAAGGAGGGTATTTCTGTTAAAAGTAATACATCAGTAGGCAGTAGACTCTTGCCATTTGTCAAGATACACAGAGAAGTTCTCCCAAGTGTCAAACTAACAGCTGACCTTTCTTGCTGGGCCATTTTCCACACAAAAGAGTGAGTGCAGGTCTGGCACCCAGCTAGGCTCACGCCTAAGCTAAGAGACTCACTCCCTTATGATCTCACATGGCACATGGCTGGTTAGGTCCTGGTAAAAGTACAAATGACTGGAGGTTAGAAATTTGCAGGGCGGCTTCTGAAAAGCTGAAACCAGAGGTCTGTAACATAATTTAGAATTGCACATAGTAAGGTCCCATCTAGACTGCATTTTAAAATGGAGTCTTTGGGCAGGAGGCTCTCGCACCCATCTATGGTAACCTGGAAGCTCCCACACTATGAAGGTGGCCCCCACACTACGAAGGTGGTCACTAGGAAGAGGACTCTGATAGTGCAAGACAGTGGCGCACGTGACCAGAGCCTGACTTGGGCTTCCCTGGGACTGAGCAGAGAGTGATACCAGTTCAGGGTTCAGGAATCAGGGAGGCGGATTCTGGCCTAATCATTTCTACTCAATTCTGGCCTAATCACTTCTACTCAACATCTACTCAGGCAGGCTACTTCAGCTCTCCATGTGTCAGTTAAACAACTAGCACGACGGGAATATTTACAGTCCTGCCTTACAGAGATAAAATGAAGATTACAAGATAAAGTATTTTCACACATACTTATCGGCTCAGAGCCTGCCACTCTGCAAAGCGGTTAGTACGTTATTAACACACCGACATTAAGCACTTACCTCTTTCTGACTACATGTTTTAGGCCAAAATTTCATTAACCCCCTAATAACCTAAAATGAAAAGGAGAAAAACAATGGTACTTAGTTGTCCACATATACTCTATGAAAAGTAGTCATATTGAAGTCTTTTGAAATTACCGAAAAAATACTTACTGGTTCTGTGAGTGAAGGATCTTTCTCCAAAAACTGTACTATGCAATATGCCAGCTAGAGAAACAGAAAAACGAAAGACAAAATTGGAAATGCTATACACTCAAAAGGGCTCAAAGGTGTATCAAAACTTCCTAAAAAGTTTTTAGACTCTGGCATTGGTAATTTCATGTTCAATTCATTCTAAAAATAAAATATATATAAAATGAAATAAAAAGCTACTTTTTCAAGCCAAAGATGGACACCAATAACACCCCAGAGGAATTGTGTTAAAAAAAGAAGACTGAGACATGAAGTATCCAGCTAATGAAAAGCAGAAATATCACATTCAGTATATTCTGGAAGCATCTCATCTACATACAGTCTAAGCTACATCTCATGGGCTTCCTTTCTCTCTTTGCCAACATCAACAGTGCTGGGTTTTACTGTGGTTCCAGAAGAGTCCTCTGCAAAAGGCAAGCGCTTAACTAATAAACCTCTTGCTCACTGCCTGAAGTGGCCCGTGCAAGCTGAAGCGGTTTCAGGAAGAGATAAAAGGTTGTACCTGCCACAGTTAGAACTGGGAGAAATGTGATGTTTTACATCTGATGCTAGCCCATCTAGGTAAGAACTCTTTTACACGATCCTGAGATGTGATATCCCATTTCAAAAACTAGAGGCTGGATTTATAAAAGGGCTCATAAAGCTTTTTGGACAAGAAATCCACCCTTGCGAAACAACATTTTGATGGTGCTCTAAATTAGAAACATATGGACTAATTTTTCCTCGAAATACAGCATTTCACATTTAAAGAGGAACACTGCTCAGAAAAATGTGTGACATTTTTATGCAAACTCAAAACATTCCCATTGGTTTGGAATACTAAAATTAAAATGCCACTATATCATTTATCTGTCCCCTAGGGACACACGTACCATGCAAGGCAGTGTTAGCATGGAAACCAGACTTGGGACAAGACGGGATGCTTTTTAAAGTGATGGAGGCTAAAAATAAAAAGATGTGAAAATACTGATTGATTTGTTTACTTGGGAGTGTATTTATTTGCCTGGAGAAAGTGAGAAGGCGATAGTGAATTCACCAGGAGAGGGGGCAGAGAGTGAGTGACAGGCTAATGCAAATGAGGATGAGATCAAATATTCCAGAACACTCAAAAATGATTACGTGTCCAGAGATCTAAATCTGGAAAACTCACACACACTTTATTCTACACGATGTGTTCAAGATATAATTTTGTGCACCAGGCAAGTCATTAAAGCTCTCTATAAAATGAGATGGTGGAACAGATGCTCCTCCCTCTTGAAAAAGACTCCCATGATTCCCCTGTGCATAGAAAACCATTAACACACATTTTCATTTTCCTCGGGAAGTATTTTATACTTGAACAAGTTTTTTTTTTTGTTTGTTCTTTTTTTAAAAGGAAACATCAATATCAAAGAAACGTTGAGTTTATAAACTTTTCATTTTGCTTCCAAAAGTACTTGCATAACATTCTACCTGGGCATGGAAGAGTGACAGGCTCCTGACAGTGTGTAAAGGGATCAACACTTTCACCAGAAACTGTTTGTGTTCTGCCTTAAGAGGTAAAGCAAAGCCATTGATAATACTAGGAAAAAGAAAAAGAAACATGAATCAGCAGCGTGATCACAACCAGCTGAATGGAGACCACCTGTTCATGGAAGGACCAGGTTAAATCGGAATCCGTTTCTGTGTGGTCCAGAACAACCCAAACTCCACCCCAGGGGCAGTGCAGATTTCCGAGTTACTTCAAAGAGTACGTTTAAGTAGGAGGGAAAGTAAAGAAAATTTGCTGATGATCTCCTAGCAAAGGCTCTTATGCTCTTAGCCCGAGTCAGATGATTCCGGGCAACAGAAAGCTCTTCTATCAAAAACTCTTTCTTTTTCCTTCCCCCTAATACTGCTCACTTATGACCCTTTCCATTCGTAGACACCATTCCTGGAATTTCTTTGCAGGCCCAGAATGCCACAGATAGAGAGCCCAGCCTGGGGAAGTCACAGAAGAAACCATGGGACTCCACCTTCTCTGTCTCCTCCTGTTAGGGGGAGAGACTGAGTAATCACATTGTGCAGTTACATGACCCTCCCTAGTGTGGGGAAACCTATGCAGCAGCTGTCTCCTTCCAATCCATTCCACTCGCCCGGACTGCAGCTGTTCCAGAACTACACCTGGGTACCTGGTTCCTGTGAAAGTGGCAACCCTTCTAATTTATTTGAACTGCTGTCAAAAGATATGGCCAAGGGCAGGTAGCCTAGAAACTAACAAGAATAACAGTGTTCTGGAGTAAGTGGGCTGGCTGCAGTTAGATGTATGGTCTCTGCAGTAATGAACCAAGTGCTAGCTCTTTCAGTCATCCCAGTAGAATGAGCAAGGCCTAACTGGGGAACAAGGGAAACACGAAATCACGTCTTGCAGGGTCAGCTGGGAAACATGCTAAGGCACAAATGGGAGTACCTGACGTACATACAGCAAGAGATCTAGGTCAGAGCTGCCACTTGGATCTCATTTGCAAAATGCTATTTACCTGCGACTAGCAATTAGCTAAAAATGTGCTTACCTTCCTAATATTTCCAGCAGTTCAGCTACACCATTGAAGTGTTCTGTTTCATAAACAAACCTTTTTTAAAAAGAAAAGAGAGAATAAAGTCAGTACACAATGTTCAGATATTTGAGGTTTATTTAACACTTCTGTTAACCACCAATTTTACTTCTCCCCCCTCCACCCGTCACTTACCTTAGAAAAATATTGTTAATCTGTTTTCGGATAAATGCTCTAAGACCAAGAAATTTGCCATAAATTCTGTGTAAGACTGTTTTTAAGTAGTCCCGTTCCCGAGGGTCTTCGCTGTCAAATAGCTCCAAAAGCTGTTGTAAATGAAAGAGAGAGTAGCTGTCAAAAGTGGTTTCAAGAAAGGATTTAGGAATTCTGCCACTTGGTGATTTAAAACCTCTCCCTCCTCTCCTTCCTCAAGAGTTTACTGAGTATTTATTACATGCGAGGCACAGTGCTAGTCTTTGGAAATACAAAGATGAATAAGTCCGACAAAGGGCTTACATTCTAATGAAGAGATAGACACAATAATCATCATCATTGTTAACAACAGTAAGAGGTAACACATACACTTAGCATGATTATCATGCAACTTTCTAAGTAACTACTTATATTAATCCTTCCTATAAGGTAGTTTTATCTTCATTTTATAGATGAGGAAACTCAGAGATGTTAGGCTACTTGCCCATGGTCTCACACTAATAAATGGCAGAGCTGCGATTTGAATCCATGCAAGTGAGGCCCTAGAGTCATTGATCTCAGCTGCTGCAATCCTATAACAAACTACCTACTGAGCTTCTGTTCCAAATACACAGTTAGGATAAGCCTTCAGCTGTACCCAAGCATACAGGTAAATGGATCAACCTAAACCAAACCCAATATCTAAAAGTCCCCAGTGATCCCAGCAATGTTCTCTTTGTAGAACTTGGTTCTTGTTACCCAGGTGCGCTCACTTTGTAAATACTTGCTGAGGTGAACATTTATCATATCTGTATATGTATTATACCTGGGTAACATTTTTTTTTTTTTTTTACAAATAGTTTATTGTCAAATTAGTTTTTACATAACACTCAGTGCTCATCCCCAAAGTGCCCTCCTTCATGCCCATCCCCCCCTCCCCCCCACATCCATCAGTCCTCAGTTTTTGTCAGCATTCAAGAGTCTCTCATGGTTTGCCTCTCTCCCTTTCCCCCACCATGTCCGCCCTTCTTCTCCCCCTTGGTCCTCCGTCAAGTTCCTCCTAATCCTCCTATACGTGCAAACATATGGTATTTGTCCTTCTCTGCCTGACTTATTTCGCTCAGCATAACACCCTCAAGGTCCATCCATGTTGCTACACATGGCCAGATTTCATTGTTTCTCATTGCCATGTAGTATTCCATGGTATAGATAAACCACATCTTCTTGATCCATTCGTCTGTTGATGGACACTTAGGCTCTTTCCATGTTTTAGCTATTGTGGAGAGTGCTGCTATTAACATTGGGGTACATGTGCTCCTATGCCTCAGCATTTCTGTATCCCTTGGGTAAATTCCTAGCAGTGCTATTGCTGGGTCATAAGGGAGTTCTATTGTTAGTTTCCTGAGGAACCTCCACACTGTTTTCCAGAGGGGCTGTACCAGTTTACATTCCCACCAACAGTGCAGGAGGGTGCCCGTTTCTCCACATCCTCGCCAGCATCTAGAGTTCTCTGATTTGCTCATTTTAGCCACTCTGACTGGCGTGAGGTGGTATCTCAGTGTGGTTTTGATTTGTATTTCCCTGATGAGGAGGGATGCTGAGCATCGTTTCATGTGTCTGTTGGCCATCTGGATGTCCTCTTTGGAGAAGTGTCTGTTCATGTCTTCTGCCCATTTCTTCACTGGGTTGTTTGTTTTTCGGGCGTGGAGTTTGGTGAGTTCCTTATAGATTCTGGATATTAACCCTTTATCTGATATGTCATTTGCAACTATCTTTTCCCATTCCGTTGGTTACCTATTAATTTTCTGGGTTGTTTCCTTTGCTGTGCAGAAGCTTTTAATCTTGATGAGGTCCCAACAGTTTATTTTTGCTCTCGATTCCCTTGCTTTTGGGGATGTGTCAAGTAAGAAGTTGCTGCGGTGGAGGTCAAGGAGGTTGTTTCCTGCTTTCTCCTCTAGGGTGTTGATAGTTTCCTGTCTCACGTTCAGGTCCTTTATCCATTTGGAGTTGATTTTTGTGCATGGTGTGAGAAAATGATCTAGTTTCATTCTTCTGCATGTTGCTGTCCAGTTCTCCCAACACCATCTGTTAAAAAGGCTGTCTTTTTTCCATTGGATATTCTTTCCTGCTTTGTCAAAGATCAGTTGGCTGTATACTTTTGGGTCCACTTCTGAGTTCTCAATTCTGTTCCATTGGTCTATGGGTCTGTTTTTGTGCCAATACCATACTGTCTTGAGGATGACAGCTTTGTAGTAGAGGCTGAGGTCTGGGATGGTGATACCTCCCGTTTTGGTTTTATTTTTCAGTATTACTTTCGCTATTCGGGGTCTTTTGAGGTTCCATACAAATTTTTGGATAGTTTGTTCTAGTTTTGAGAAGTATGCTGGTGCAATTTGGATTGGAATTGCATTGAATGTGTAGAGTGCTTTAGGTAGTAATGACATCTTAACTATATTTATTCTTCCTATCCATGAGCATGGAATGTTTTTCCATTTCTTTGTGTCTTCTTCAATTTCCTTCATAAGTTTTCTATAGTTTTCATCATACAGATCTCTTGTATCCTTGGTTAGGTTTATTCCGAGGTATTTTATGGTTTTTTGTGCAATTGTGAAGGGGATCAGTTTCTTGATTTCTCTTTCTGTTGCTTCATCATTGGTGTATAAAAATGCAACCGATTTCTGTACGTTGATTTTGTACCCTGCAACTTGGCTGAATTCTTGGATCAGTTCTAGTAGGCTTCTGGTGGAGTCTGTCGGGTTTTCGATGTAGAGTATCATGTCATCTGCGAAGAGTGAAAGTTTGACTTCCTCTTTGCCAATTCTGATGCCTTTGATTTCCTTTTGTTGTCTGATGGCTGATGCTAGGACTTCCAGCACTATGTGAAACAACAGTGGTGAGAGTGGACATCCCTGTCGTGTTCCTGATCTCAGGGGGAAAGCTCTCAGTTTTTCCCCGTTGAGGATGATGTTAGCTGAAGGCTTCTCATAGATGGCTTTGATGATGTTTAAGTAGGTTCCTTCTATCCCAACTTTCTCGAGAGTCTTTATTAAGAAGGGATGCTGTATTTTGTCAAATGCTTTTTCTGCATCTATTGACAGGATCATATGGTTTTTATCTTTTCTTTTATTGATATGATGGATCACATTGATTGATTTGCGAATGTTGAACCAGCCCTGTAACCCAGGAATGAATCCCACTTGATCTTGGTGGATGATTCTTTTGATATGCTGCTGGATTCGATTTGCAAGGATCTTGTTGAGAATTTTTGCATCCGTATTCATCAAGGATATTGGCCTATAGTTCTCTTTTTTTGTTGGATCTCTGTCTGGCTTGGGAATCAGAGTGATGCTGGCTTCATAAAATGAGTCTGGGAGTTTTCCTTCGACTTCTATTTTTTGGAATAGCTTGAGAAGAATTGGGATTAATTCTGTTTTAAATGTCTGGTAGAATTCCCTGGGTAACATTTTTTGAATTTCCACTCATTTGTCATCTAAAGTCAGTAACTGAATCCAGACATCAACATATGTCAACAAGAAAACTTGTACATGAACGTTCATAGCAGCACAATTCACAATAGCCCAAAGTGGAAACCACCCTAATGTCCATCAGCTAATGCAGGGATGAGCAAAATGTGCTATGATGGACCATTATTCAGCCATAAAATGGAATGAAGGACTGGCACATTACCACCTGGATGAGCCTTTGAAACTTCCCGCTAAGTGGAAGTAGCCAGACACAAAAGGCCACATATTGTATAATTCCATTTATCTGAAATATATGGAGTAGGCAAATCCACAGAGACAGAAAGCAGAATGACGAATGTCTGCTACGAAGTATGGTGTTCCTTTGCAGGATGATAAAACATGTTCTGTGATTACACAGCAGTCATGGATACACAACTTAGTGTATACTAAACAACACCAAAGTGCAAACTTTTTTAAATGGGTGAATTTTATGGTATGTGAATTATATCTGAATAAAGCTTTTATTTATTTGTTTGTCTGTTTTTAAATGACAGTGGGCAGGTTCCTCTAGCTTGGAGACTGGTTTAAATTTTATGGAGTTCCTTCGACATTCATTATTGTCACAATAAAACAAGACTCACAGTTTATACTGAAGTTGACTTTACAGCAAAACATTTCAAGAGCATACTGACAGTATACAAATGAACAGACTACCCTAAATACCAAAAAAGCTATCAAGACATGCATAAGCTTGGTTTCAGGTGATTAAGACATGAGGCTGGCAGCAGCAGAATTATTCAGTGGGCAGTAATCAAATAAATTATCTGCTCTTGCCTGGTGCTTTTCTTTGAACAAAAGACAAAATTATAGACGAAGAACGGCCCTTCAAATAATGGCAGGAAGTACAAACTGAAGGAGGATCTTCAAAACTGGGCAGTGACAGAAATGCAATTTTTGGCTACACAATGCCATTCCTCCATCTGTCCACCTGTCTGTCCAGCCAAAAATCAAGTGCCTCAAATAAATATGTCTGCCTGTTAAGAGTCAGCCACTGGGCAGGATGTCAGAGATACAATGGTGAGCAAGAAAGACACAATCAGCTTTCACAAAGCCTAGTTGAAATGAGGGATACAGGTGAGCAGACAGCGTAAGTGGTTTAGGATGCTATACAAACACACAGCAGACAAATCTACTCTACTGGGGAGAAGTAGGGTGGTAGGGAAGGCTTCTGGAGGAAGTGACATCCAGGCTGACCCATGAAGCAATTAGGAGGCTGAAGTGGAGGCAGAGTGTTCATGGCAGATTCAACAGCACATACCTTCACGAGCAGCCTATCAGAACAGAAGATGCGGTTAAGACAACTGCCATCTCTCTGCCCGGTCAGCCATGCAGTCAACCAATCAATCAATCCATCCATCTCTGCACACGCCACAAGCTGTCCTTGTTACCGTGCACACACACACTAGTGAAAAACCTGGAGCCCACAGGGAGAGCAACGAGCAAGTGAACTATATACCTCCACAGAGAACACTCTAAGAAAGAAAGGTCTGTGGCCCCATAAGCGAAAAGGTCCCAGGGGCCCAGTAATTTATCTACCACACACACAAAATGACAATCTCTAACCTACTCATCCTACTCCTTGTTAATGAAAATAATTAACCTTTTCCGTT